TTTCGGGACACCCTGTACTTCAACGCTTCGAGTCGGTCGATTTCTTTCGCTCATTCAATAAAAAGGACTATTAATAGACTGATTGGTTGATCTTGTAATAGTACAGACATACGAAATTGTAACGTAAAATAAATATTTACGTAACAGAAAAATTTGGCCACAACACATGAATATTATAATTAGACCGAGGTTTTTATGCATCTATGATGAAAATGAATAGGTAAAATATAAAACAGTGAAAATATTAAAAGAAGCTACGCGCGAATATTGAACTACTAATCCCAACTTATTAGAATTGTTTAAGAGAGAAACGAAATTGAACTAGGCGTGTAGCAATAATTGACGTAGACAATTTTTATTTTGCAAAAATGTGTCTAATTGTAACGTACTAAAATAAAAATAGAACTTCAATACAACGAAGAAGAAGAGAATTAGTTTAGAATGTAGTACGAAATTGAAAAAATTGAAGAAATCGAAGATAGTAAAAAGCAACTGAAATGCAGCTGGGACACAATAAATGAATGATTTCTTCCTCGATTGACATGAATTTATTACTCCAGATGTTGCATTTTTGGGCTCCATTTTGAGACTCCACTAACGGGTTAATAATTTCATCTGCGAACCTTTCGGATATCCACCGTCAATGTCGCTCGACGCTAAATCGAGCAATTTGGCGCACAGATGTCTCCATCGGCGGTACTACGAAAGGGGTCGTCGACTAAAAAGTCACAGTAATGAAAAAGCGACAGCGAACGGCGCAAGAAGATCTAAAAAAAGCAAAAGAAAGAGAAAAAGAGTGTTCTCGCTAGCAGGACACAGCCCATATCGCTGTCAGTTTACGACACTCGCGTTTACATAGCGCCATGTGGCTGCTGGTCTCCTCCGTCCCCCGCACCCCTTCGCCTACTATCACCCTTTCCCTCTGCTGCTTCACAAAAAAATGTCCTCTTGTCCCCTTTACGCCGGAACGTGGCAATGACATTTCCGTCTACTGCCACTATCCGGCAAACAGGTCGTCGGAGCTTTTTTTCTCTGACACCATCCTCCGTTTCTTCTTCCCCGCCGTCATTCATACCAGTTCCCTACGACCCCTTAGGCTCCTTTCCACATAAATCTTCTTCCCTTTTTTTTACAGCGACGAAAATATACGCGTTGCAATGCGTCGTGTTGTCGGAGCGTGGTTTTACCCCGCGGAGGACACAAGTCGGGATTTGTAGGGAAAGGCGCGAGCTATGCTGAATCTCATGCTGCTCCCGAAAGTTCTAAACAAAGAAACTGTAGAATTTAGGCTGTATACCATTTTCTCATGATTTATAGCAGCTCCGAAAATATTTAATTTCTAAAAATTTTCTAAAACTACTGTGTAACTCGAATATTCGCTTGGTTATTCAAAATTGCTACGAATTTTTAATTAACCCTTAACCCCCTTAATAATTAATCCCCAATATGTTGATTAACCTTTTCAATGTGAAGTCCGTATGTGGAACATGCGAGAGCCATGTTGTTTAATTTCTGAATGATTTAATTATACAGGGTGTCCCAGGTTTTAATGTTCAAACTTTGTCAGTGTATTCTATGGCACAAAGTAAGAAAAAAATGTTATGTAAAATATAGGGCATACAGAGCTTTATTAAGAAGTTATAACAAAAATTCGTTCAATGAAATGAAAGAGAATAGAAACGAAATTCGCACGGTCATAAATTCGATCTTCGATCGATGTCGATCATGTATTGTCAACAACGGTAGACATTTCGAAATGTATTAATAAACACAGCTTACATAAACACACGGCAAGTGCTGATCTATTCAAGCCAATGCTCGCAGTAACAGCAAGTTGATTACTATTCCTATTCTGAATTTTTGTTATAACTTTTTAATAAAGCTCTATATGACCTATGTTTGCATAACATTTTTTTCTTACTTTGTACCATAGAATACACTAACAAAGTTTGAACATTAAAACCTGGGACACCCTGTATAATATAAAGTCATAAAAATAATTCAAGAAACAGATCTGTTTATTTAGGAATACTTGTTTCTTAGCAGAACGAAAGGCGAAGAAGCAGACCTTTAAAAGAACAATTGTCATATTTCAATCTCTCATTTTTAATCAATTGTTTTTGACGAGTATTTTTGGCGTAACAAAATATTCTTAATTCTTCATGACGAATATACTCGTCAAAAACGACTAATTAAAAAAGATATAAACTTTGATATTCTTCATTAAATTATATATTTTACAAAATTATTGTATTTAAACAAAATATGAAGGAAACCAAACACATACAGTATAATTACAGTAACCTACACACTTTTGAAGGAGATTACAACAGCTGACTGGTTAAAAAGTGTGCCGTACAAATAAATTGATACGTATACAATGTACAATCTACCAACATTGAATTTATGATAGCATGATCGCAGTTCACACTTTAAATTTGTTTTCTATTGAAAACAAATAGAATCAAATACATAAATTGTCTTTAAAGTAACGAATAAAAGAACAGCATCAGCATGAAACAATACTACCACGGGGACAGGTGTGAGATTGCTCGGAACTTCGGTCACCTAAACGCAACGGTTGGAAACAAATTGTAGCTCGTCATGATTCCACAGACACTTTCAGACAATTCAATTCGCTGTCCGTTATTTCAGCGACGTTCTTTTCCGCGCCGACTCGAAAAGCGATGGAAGGATCTGCAAAAAATCGCTGCGATCACGCCACTTAATTTCCCGCTGAAAGAAAGGCTCTTATTTGAAAATTGAATACGAACATCCGTTACAGACGGGTTCGGTCACGCTTTAACGGAAAATACCGCGCAACGCGAAACCGCAGCGAGGAGATTACGCGGTGAGGCCGCTTATTCGCATTTACGCCAATGCGAAGCTCCCTCGAGCCGGCGATGGATACTCAAGATCTGTGTCCCACCGATTTGGATCAAGGTGGGGACTCGATTCTCTCCTCTGTTCCCAGATGACTCTTCTAGGAACATCCTGGACGAAGAGTTCCGTCCGTGAATTTCGTTTCTATAATTTTATTTCTTATAACGGGTCTACGCCATTGGCAGGAAGTGATTTCTCGAAACAATGAACTATGTACAAGGTTCAGTAGAATCTAATACTTTGTTCATTTTGTTCTTAAAGAAACTAAATCAATTAATTGAATTGAACTTGATTTGCTTATAGGGAAAATTGTTTATTTATTATGTTATCATGAAAACAAAACATCAAGACATTTGTAGATGTAAACTCAAAAAATACACATGACGGAGTAGAAATGTAATAAAATATAAGCTTAGTTAAATCAGTTCAGTTTAATAAAATCTAATACAGTTTTAGTTATAAATAAACTAAATCAAATTTTGCTTAAATACATGTATATTGTCTAGAAAATTAATTACGCTGAACTTGGTTTGTTTATAGGAAAAAATGTTTGTATATTATGTTATTATGAAAACAAAATGTAAAGACAATTACACATACAAATTAAATAATAAATTACAATAAAGTAGAG